AAGTTGTGCATAATTAAAATAAATAACAGATAATACATAACTATTTCCTCAAACAGAAACTTTCATATAATAGATTTAGTGTAATAAATTTATTTACGTAGATTTTGAATAATATAATAATTTAATTAAAGAAACTCAGGTCTATGGGAAATACTTAAGATTTTAATGGAATTAATAAGAAAAATGATATGAATAATGAGAATAATGATTTGAAAAAACTAACATCAAATTCAAGAACTAAGAAGGTTATGCTACAGTCAGAAAAATATACTTTAACGACATACTAGTTAAATGGACCTAATCATTTTGGTGAAAAAATGTTAACTCATGTGGTGAAGAAGATAGGAAAACCAACATCTGGTGTGGTTGAACCAACATGATGCGTCGAGTAAAAATACAGTTGTCGAGTTGAACTTGAGATGTAGTTAAAATTTGGATAAATTAACCAAATTATTTTTTTAAGTGTATTATATATACAAAGTAATGGGATGAGTGGTCAAGTAGATTTTAAAAACTCCTATCACAATTGTCAATACATTTATTTTGATTTTAGTTTCAAAAGATAATAATTTTTTGTTAAATATAATAATATATCCACATTAATATATATATATTTGTTACCAAATATATATATATATTTGTTAAATTACTGTCCATAATCAAAACATATTTGTTACCAATTTTGACAATTTTGATTGTTCAACACTGTTTTGGGCAACGTGACCGAAATTTATTACACTTGCCTTTCTTTCTCACTTTTCTCTCTTTTGTAACCGTGCCATGTTTCTTTCTTTTGACTTCCTTGTTGTTTATCTCTAGTCTCTCGTCTTTTCCATATCTTGGCTCATTCGCTTCTCCCCACCAATCGATCTTTAATCACTTTTTTGCTTTTTTTATTTTTCTTTTTTACACTTTTATCGCTTTCTTGTTACCGATCTTGTTTCTTTCTTTGCCTGCATGCTGTCTACTTTTCTTCTCTTGTCTATTTCTTGTCGATCTGTTGCTATTTCTCATTTTTTTATTTCTCTCTTCAAGCTTTCTTTTGTCCCTTTCTTGATTCTCTCTCTTATCACACTCTAGTCACTCTTTTGTCCTTTCCTTGTGTCTTTATTTATCTCTCCTATACTTCTCTCTTTTCTCACTCGTTTTTCAATGTTATCTGTCTGTTGCGGTAACAGAAATTTATTAATGATTTCTTCTTAACGCTGTTATAGCAACTCAATCAAAGCACCCTTTGGAAAGGAAAAGGGAGTAGTAGAAATTTTGTTTTATTTAAATGTTTTGTTAAAGATTCACTAATAAAAAGGAATTCTCGATTCAGTTCAGCAAAATGAAATACTAAACATAAGAAATAGTAATATAATAAATTCAAATTCTTAATTATGTTAGAAACTCAGAGTATCTGTGATAATAATATTACGTAGGTTTATTTCACTAATCTTATTGTGGCAACTCAATACTTTAGGGGTCCCATTCTATAAGGATCTTGATTAACTGCAAAACCTCACACTAAACAGCATATCAAGTTTCGCCAAAGGTTCCAGGTGGTTTTATACCCCGAGCTTTTCCATGATACGGTAGCACAATGAGCCAATGGGTGCCTGTAGCTCACTTAGGTTAGGTATAACCTAAGTTTTTTTTTTTTTTTTTTTTTTTTTTTTTTATTTATATTTAAACAAAATGAAGAGTTTAAATTTACAACAACTAGTCATATTGACTAACAAGAGGTTTTT